TCCTAAACACTAAATGTATCAGAATAATTTTAATTTATAATACCAGCTTTACATTTTATTTTATTTATTTATTTTTGGTTTTTTGAGACAGGGTTTCTCTGTGGCTTTGGAGGCTGTCCTGGAACTTGCTCAGTAGACCTGAGGCTGGCCTGTGGGAAACTTGTGGTACATTTTCTTAATTGATGTGGGCTCACTGTGGGTGGTTCTGGGTACCATAAGAAAACAGGCTGAGCAAGCCATGAAAAAAGCAAGCCAGTACACAAGTGTCCTCCACAGCATCTCCATCAGTTCCTGCTTTGAATTCCTGCCCTGACTTTGTGTGATATACTATGAGTTATAAAATGAAATAAACCTTTTTCTCACCAAGTGGCTTTGGTCACAGTGTTTTAGCATAGCAACAGAGACCCTAAGACAGGAATACATGTGGAGTTTTAAGGATAATTTGTGTAAATTGGATCTCTGCTTTGATCATGTGGGTCCTCAGGATTGTTGACAAGGACCTTTACTGGTGAGCCATTTCACCAGTCCAGAATACCAGTCCTTTTTTGTTTTTTCAAGACAGGGTTTCTCAGTGGCTTTGGAGGTTGCCCTGGAACTAGCTCTTGTAGACCAGGCTGGTCTTGAACTCACAGACATCCACCTGCCTCTGCCTCCTGAGTGCTGGGATTAAAGCATGTGCCACTACCACCTGGCTCAGAATACCAGTCTTAAGCATATATATTAACCACAGAAGACATGATGAGCAGAGTGTAGTAGCATACATCTGGGGAGGCTGAGCCAAGAGGACCACGAATTCAAAGCCAGCCAGGATTATAAGTAAATTTCTAGTCTGGATTACATACAGATGGTAAGACTTTTTCACAAAATTAACACGCATCTCATTACAGTTGAGGAGGGATACTGAGGTAACTAGAAGAACCAGGAATTCCAAACATACTGCATAGTGTCAACTCCTATTAAAATGCAGCGTGGCACAGGACCTTAATTCCAGCGCACAGGAGGCAGAAGCAGGCAGATCTTGAGACTAGTCTGATCTACATAGCAAGCTCCAGGCCAACCAAGGCTATACAGAGAGACTGTGTTGTAAAACCAGCAAAATAAGATGTTTAAAAGTTGGATGTGGCGGCAAAACCTGTAATCCCAAGCACTCACGAGGATAAGGCAAGAAGACCACCTCCTTGAAAGCCAGCCTGGGCTACATACTAAGCCCCCTCTCTTTAAAAAGAAAAAGTGTGATGGGTTCCCAATACTGTGCTGTTTTAATTTTTGAAGCAAACGTTAGGACATTTCTAAGCCTTACAAGTTAACTCATGACTTGGATTATTACAATCTATCCCACCCCCAAAAGTGTCCTTTCTTCCTGGCAGGCATTTTCTGAGCCTAACCCTCACAGGAAACAAAGTTCTGTCCCATTCCTGCTGATTTGAATGGCTCTGGGAAACCTCAGGGAGGCTAGATAACTCGCCCAAGGTCAGTGAGATATTTCAAACCTCCCATTCTTTCTAACCAGCTGAACTGCCCCTTGATACTGCCAATAGCTGACAGGGTGGGAAGACCTGGGTCTCGGGTGGAGGGATGCGGCTGTGAACTAAGGACCAAGGGAGTGGGAGACTGCAGGTTTACCCCCATTAGTTATTGGCTGTGGGTAGGGGCCCTCTAGAATTTAAGGAAAGATAGGCCTAGGTCGGTCCAGGGATGCTTGGACTCAACCTTGTGGTGGTGGGTTGTGGTCCATCCATTTAGAGCCTAGGAGATTCCTGCAGGCTGCAGGCGAACACTGCCATCCTGCCAGGCCAAACTCAGCTTGCTCCCCGCTCCCGCCAGAGTCCTTCTGGTCTGGGCCCGCGGCCTCTCACCTGAGGGCTGGCCACAGCGCCGCCCTTCCTCCTCCATGTCGCAGCCGCGACACCAGCTGAGCCGGCGGACCTGGATGCTGCCAGGCTAAAGGAATCGTCGCCATTGCCGCCTCCATCTCCACGCATCCCTGGAGCCTTGGCGAGCCTGGCGGAAGACGCAGTCACCAACCGAACACGGGGCGCGGCCCCTCCCTCCAGCCCTGGCCGCCCCGCCTGCCGGCACCCTCCCGCTGCCCGGATTGTGAAGTGCGCAGAGGCATCCTCAGCCTGTGGGCGTGCGCCAGGACCCTAGGTTGCCTCACCGTGATACACAGCAAAGAAGACAGTTAAGGCAGGGATGCCAGGCACAATGCAACCCTGAGGTAAGGCTTGCTTTTGGAGGAGACCGGGAGTCTGAGATGAAGGGGGGTCTCTCTACAGGCCTCTGAGAATACCTACAGATAGGATAGCCTTCAAGCTGGCCTTCTTGGCTTTCTCACTAGCCTGTTCAGGTCATTATAACAACTTTAATTAAACCAACTTCAGTACACGTACGTGTCCTAGAAATAGAAGTATGGGTGGGTGAGATGTAAACAGAAAACAGGAACTATTAAATTGTGTTGAGTGTGAAAATCTTGAAAAGTGACTGTGCAACCCAGTTAGGCCTATTTTAACAAACACCAAAAAAAAAAAAAAAAAAAAAAAAAAAAAAAAAAAAAAAAAGACGACTAATAGCGTCTCATCTCCTAAAGTCCATACGTCTATAAATAAACTCAATTTGGCTTTTAGTCGGAGTCATCACGAAATTTATCTACTTTACTCCTTCAGGATTCCAGCATGGTTAATTACGCTTCTCCTACTTTTCTAATCTCATCTGATATTTAGAAATACAGAATGTATTTAAAAATGTCCCTTCTTCCAGCTGGTACTAGAAGTCAAAAACCTTGACTTCCATCCAGGTGAAATATCTTGTGGAGCTACTACAACCTTGCTCCATTTTTACTTAACTTTTTCTTTATAAATACAAACTAGTAACAAATTTAAATTTTCCCCACACTTTTTGCTAAGAAAGATGCTAGAAGAGTTTTGTGAAATACCGGAATTGTTTAGAAATAAAGAATACTAAAGAACAATTCCCAACTAATTCCCACATAAATCATGTTCTACTCCCCAGACACCTGGCAATATAGCAGTTCTAAGATATGCTGTCAGTAAGGGTAACACTGGGCTCTAGAAACAATTGAGGGAAAAAAAAAAAAGTAATTGGCAGTTACAGTGGAAATTCTGACCCAAAGTATATGTCTCTCCAAATAAATTAACTACTGCTTGCACATCGGTTCTAGAGCTATGTGGGGTTACTCAGAAATACAAAATAATAATGTGCAAAGATATAGCAGTGAGGTTGATAAACTAGAGTACAACACCTGCATACTAATACAAAAGACATGTGAACAGGCTATCCATCTGTATAAAACCAGCATTCCAGCACAAACCAACTGACACGCCATTAACATGTCCATTTGGGGAAAGCATATACCAAGGTGAATAACATGTTCATATTCACTGGGCACAGTGGCAAACAACTGTAATCAGGATCTCTCCACCTAAATCTTATTCCTTGGATTCGCTGATAGAAGCTGTAAAGTGTTAAGCATTAAGACAGGCACTAGAGTGTATTCTGAAGTATAGAAAATGGAAAGCTACTTTAATATCCAACAGTGGAACAATACTCAAACCATGAGAAAGATCTACAAAGGCACCCCCCTCAACTGCTGGGTTTGTACTCATGGACTCTGCTGTGCTAGGCAAGCCCTTGACTATTGAACTATACTCTAGAGTCCCTCAGTCACATTAACAGTGAAGAAAAGAGCCTTTAAATACGATCTGCAAAGGATCCCTTCAGAAACTAAAGATTAGATCTTACAAACCCCTACATTTTGTTCTTTCATTACTCACCCAAACTCACAGAAACCTATGACCTTTCCAGTCTAACCAACAATGGCTTTCTAATACTGTTGCCTCTCTGCTGCATTCTGCCAGCTTGCATCTCGTTGACATTGTTTTTGCTCCATCCTTATTGTATCACATATTCCCAAAGCTGCATTAGATAGCATCAACCATCCAGTTCTTCTCTCTCTCATTCCAGTTTGGGACCACTTGTAGAAAATCATGCAATGATAAAACATTTAATTTCAAACTAATAAGGAACAAACCTGATATTGCTGCTACGAGGATATTCAGATTAAGGGATTCTGCTTTTAGGTCGAGTAGAATCTAGATCTGGTTTTTTTTTTCATCAGGTACTTATCACTGATAGGCTAAATCAATAAGGATTTTTTTTTTGTTGTTGAAATTTTAGTCTTATTCGTAGTCTTCTGGCTCAGGATCCAGAATGCTTTATTTGTAGGTGCCACCCTGACACTTTAAAAAGATGGTGAAGCCTGAATTCCATCCAGCAAAATTTTAACTAAAGATACTACCAAGCACATATTTCTTTAAATTCCCACTTAGGAGCTAAAGCTATTTATATATATTTTCTACAACAAAACTAATAAACAACTAAAATAGGAAAAAGAAAAGTCTGAAGTGGGCAATAATTCAAAGTCTCACTACTTAAAGGGTGGTCTTAGAGAATCACCCATTTAGGTGATGACAGAAAAGTTCACCTGTACTATTAAATGTGCTAATCACTAGTTACATGTGGCTAGCAAGAACATGTCCGGTACTTAACAGGGCAGAGTTAGGTAATTCATTCTGGCCAAAGGGAAAAAATTCACAGATGTAAACCTAAGAAGGCAAATAATCCACAAAAGTTACTGCCTAGAAAACTGTCTTCTCTTAATGAAGACAGAAGTCAGGCATCAAAAACAATCTATTTTATTGGGTTTTAAACTAGTTACACAATTGAAATCATCAATTAGGCACCACTCTATACAGGGATTGTGTCTGTATATGCTGACACTTCAATATTCTACTCAGACCACTGCTGTGCTTAAATTGGAAAGCTCAGCATGTAAACACTAAAAAATATACCGCAGTGTTCCTTTAGGGGTGTGTCACAGATGACATTCATTAACTTGTGAATTATCCCAACTAAAAGATAGTCTGAACTTTTTAAGTTGTGACAGGCAAACATGTTATCATTCAGAGATACACACAGAAAGGTACAAAAAAATCCAGATATTTTAATATTAAATAATCCTACTTTTCAGCTTTTGTAACATGAAAAGATAAAAGAAAATAATTTAAAAACACACACTAAAAATGGTATTGTGTAGGTACAAAAGCCCCAAGTTGCTATAGTAAAATGTTGTGTGTGAATCCTTACAAACGAGTCACACAATGGTTGTGTTAAGGGCTGCATCTGTACAAAATCTTGCCAATGTTATCTCTACAGTTTACACAACCTTTTACATCTATGTAACACACCAAACAAGTCACATACCAACTCTTATTAGTTTCAATGATTCTGCAGGCAGGAAGGAATGCAGGCAGAAGGGGGAGAGGGAAGAGGGAAAGGCAGGGATGGGGCAGAAGGGGGGAGAGGGAGGGAGGAAGAGAGGGAGAGGGGGAAATAGAGAGAGAGCAAGCGAGAGATATGAAAAGAAAATTTCCTTAAACACAGCAATTGTACAATTGTCCATTTATATGAGGTACAACGTATTTCAAGGTGAGGTGCAAAACAATATTTATGAAGACTAAAGGGTAAAAAGCAACCAGCCAAGGTGTTTATTGATGTTGTTTTTATTTTTAAAATCACACACTGTATACACATACAAATCAGTCTAAAATTTATTCACCAAACCCCCAGTTTTTCAGCAATTGGCTCTTATTCAGCACCAAAAACTCCAGTCTGTGGGGACACAGACGAAGACTTCTGCAATGTGGTCAAACAATCTGTCAGGTCATAGGTTAATTCTGAGACTAGCCCACTTTGATCCGTTTCTCTTCGTGGCTCTCCAGACTTCAGATGCATGGCCCATGGCCTACTACCATTAAATCCAACAGCCTTTGAGGAAGGAGTCAAAATAATTGGAGATGAACGAAACGACAGGACCTACATTACTGACGAGTATTCTCTCCATTCCAAGGAAATTGTTTTTTAACAAATTTCTAGACTGTTTGGTCATGATGCCATGATCATACTGGGTTATTTCTAGTCTGAGACTTTGTGACTTTGTCATACGTCTCAAAGAAAAAGTGATCAGTATTCTGGGAAACTTCAGGACAAGTTAGGAAATCAAATGGCAGCTGGGAACCTGTGAACGAAGACTAATGAGGCCAAACACCGAAGTCACTAAAATGAAGACAGCTCAACAGAGGCTGAATTGTGAGACCTGCAGAGAGTCACCACAGATGATACCTGAGGATCTGGAATTTTTGATGAATTGAGCCCCAAATCAGGACTAGTCATCTGCATTAAGGAGGAAAAAAAAAATTCTGTTAGGTAACAAAACACTCAGTTGTAAAATCCCACCTGCTTGTCTCTCAGTGTCATGGTAAGTTTTTCTTTTTTTTTCCCTCCCTGATCTTTCCCAGTACCCTTCACTTCCTTCAGGAATTTCTGAAGCTTTTATGAGTAGACTTTCTTCATTTCCCTGTCCCCTGAATAGGGACTTCCTGCCCCCCACCTTACAGAGGGTAATATGCATTTATGAATTTAGATGACTTGTATTCAGTGAGGAATACCTTTAATACCAGCACTCCTGAAGGGGGAGAGGCAGAGTGAGTTTGAGGCCACCTGATTAACATAGTGAATTCTAGAATAGCTGGGGTAGGGGGTAAAGAATCTATTGGTATGGGGGGGTGAAAAAAAAAAAAAAAAAAAAAAAAAAAAAAAAACAAAAACAAAAACCAAACAAACAAAAAAGATTCCAGATAATGGACTAGAGAGACGACTCAAAAGTTAAGAGCATTTCTTCCCAGCAACTAACACAATCATCAACTCAGTTCCCTCCTCTGGCCTCCACAAGCATGGCATGCACATGTGCACATATATTCAAGTCAAATACTCATACACATTAAAAAAAAAAAAAAAAAAAAAAGAATCCAGATGAAGTGTTCTCATGACTACAGAACCCAGAGTTCCCAGTATCACCCCAAATGTTCCACTCAGGAAGCAACTTGGACTACAATTTCTTTTCTTTCACCTGACTAACCCAGGCTACTACTTGTTTTTTGACTGTCTCATAAATTCCCTGCCTAAATATGGAAACAAAGTCATGAGAAATTCTATGGGACTTATTTCCACTGAACACAGTAAAAGCCATATTTTTATTTTATTGAGACAGAATCTCACTCTGTAACTCAGGGCTGGTTTCAAACTCTGAAATTAGTGGAATATAGAGACAAACATCCAGAATGCTTACAAAAGCAGGATGGCTGCAAGCTCCAGGTAGCCAGGGTTACACAGTGAGGCACTGCCTCAAAAAACCAACCAACCAATCCACCTAACCAAACCCTCTGAAGGTAAGGCACAAGTCATCATGTTTGTTTACCTAAGTGCTCGAAATTGAACCGAGGTCCTCATCTGTGCTAAATTTGAGCTCCACCTCTGAACTATATTAACCCCCCCCCACACACACACCTCAAAAGCCATGTTCACAGTCAGGTGAACACACGGCTACACACCTAGTACTCTAAATGTAAATCTAGCCTGATCTACAGAGCTATCCCTGTCTTAAAAAGTCAAAGCAAACAAACCTTCCACTTGATTTAAGCAGTTACATCAAAAATGTCAGCAAAGTTTAAAAACTTGTAGATATTCTTTCCTCAGTCATCAATGGGATGAGACTGCTGGGGATGTCACATGCAACTCACCTCTCTATGCATAATAGCATGGTGACACAAGGAGGTCAGTGAGGACAAGCAGCTGATCGTCAGTGAACTGCTGCTTGTGTTCTTGCCAGTTGTCATGGTGTGTCCTTCGGAAATTGGATAAAGTCTTCTTTACAGTCATCTGTAATAAACCCATGGGCACTTTAACTTCTAAGGACTACAGTAAGCACCAGTTATCTTCAGCTAATTAGAATCCACCTAGAGCTCAGCTCTCACATAGTGCAAATGCTACAGTGTCAGAAAATGAAGTCAGTTTTCTGTCTCTACTAATGTTCTGTAAAATTACTAAGCTTCACTTCAGGACAAAGCACTGGAATGTACTGCCACATTGCTAGACCAGTTTCAATACACATTATATTACAAAGGTGACCTGTTTAGCTTAGAAGCATGGGTGCTCATTACTAGATAATATAATAACTATTTCTAGCTTAACATTAGCCCTCAGTGAAATGAGAGAGTCTTTGCAGATATAAAATGTAGAATAATAGTGCTCTTTATGTTGGGTTAGAAAGGATAGAAGCTACAGAATTTAATTTTATTTTGTTACACATGGGAGAAATGTCTTTGCAAGACTTTATTAATTAATTACAGAGTAAATGTGACTCTTTCAGAGACAGTAGTTTGTTTTAAGGTTTTTCAAGACAGGGTTTCTCTGTGTAGCCCTGGCTCTCAGGGGATTTGCTCTGTAGACCAGACTGGCTTTAAACTTACAGAGATCTGTCTGCCTCTACCTCCTGAGTGTTGGGATTAAAGGCGAGAGCCACCACCACCAATCTGAGGCAGTAGCTTTACAAAGCAGTAAATCTCAAAGTGTGCAGGAAAGTATTTATCAAGTGATACAAATAAACTAACAGGGAAGAATTATACTTTGGGATGTACATTATTTTAACAAACTGTCATATTCTGTTCATTAAGAAGTTCATTAAGAAGCTGGATCTGGAAGTGGAATTGGCCCCACACATGTGTATGTTCTGTTTTCTTAGGCTCCTTATCTGGGAATGGTTTAGCCTCATTAACTGTGGCAGAAGGAAAGAACAATAAATCAGCTCAAAAGTAAAACCATGTTCAAGGACAGGGAGCAGGCAAACCACTTCCAGCAGAGGTTGCTACTGTTTATCTCATGATGTAAAAGCACCTGCAGTGGGAAAATTGCCGAGTTCAGCCATGGAAGTTCAGGTCAACTGTGAACTCTAGCTATTGTCTCACTTCTCCAGTAATATTCTGCTGCTGTAGGCACCTGATTTGACCATGTTATCTCTACTGCTATTTGTACTTTTACCTGGAAGCCTCACCAGAGGATATACTCTGCTCCACCTAAGACTCTCTTTATTGGTTAACTCTAGCCGACTGCCTTAAGGGTGCATTACCAGTTAATTTCTGCTAGATGGGCTTAGCCTCCAATTTGATGGTATCTGCCGGCTACTTGATGTTATTCTTTTACTTTGGTCCTCTGGACCATACATAACATACCTCAATAGGCTGAGGATCATTCAAATGTGCACTGAGATTCATAAGGAGCTGGGGCATCCAGGTGGGAACATCATAAGGACTAGAAAGAACGCATGCACCAAGTCCAAGCACACCAGCATGACGTTTGACCAACTCTGCAATGAAAACAACAACATATATTTCCTTTATAGGGAAATAAATAAATTTTCACTCATGCTAGATATGCTTTCATTGTGCATCATTTTCCCCCATTTAATATAAGTTTACAAATACACACATACAACCCCCCCCAAAAAAAAAACAAAACCCCAAATATGATTTCTGGAGCTGAACTAGAAACTGCAAGAATTTTTTGTTTGTTTGTTTGTTCGGTTTTTTGAGAAAGGTTTTCTGTAGCTTTGGAGCCTGTCCTGGAACTCACTCTGTAGAACAGGTTGGCCTCGAACTCTGAGATCCTCATGCCTCTGCCTTCCCAGTGCTGGGATTACAGGTGTGTACCATCACCACCTGGCTAAACTGCAAGAATTTTAAAGACATTCTATAGCTGTCCCTCAGTGACAGAATAATTGTTTCTAGCCAGAAATGGGTCATATTGTTAAAAACCAACATAGCTCATTCATATTCTAAGTACAATTCCTAATCCTAAAACCATCTCCCAGATTAGGTAATATTTTCTCTCTGTGACTGTCCCCACACAAAATGCACCACCATGCATGACAAACACATTCCTTAAAACAGAACTGCAACACATGTCCACTTTAAGGGGTCTGTTCCTTCCTCAGTGGTGTAAGTTCAAGTGTTTTCAAATACCCTTTGTCCCTGTTTTCTTTCTTGCTTTTCCCTCTCCCCTCTCAGTGGTGCTGGTACTGATCAAACATAGGCCTCACAGGAGCTAAGCACCCTACCATCCTATGACTGCCACACCTAAATCTGTTTCCATCCTTTTGGTAGTATTTGGTATTGAACTCAGGACACAATGCATATTAGCCAAGAACTTATTACACATTTAGTCACATTTCTAGTTCCCTAAGAGTTTCTCACTAAAATTAATATATATTCTTTTATACATCTATTTTAGGCATATCTATGAACAAAAGGAGAAGGAAGGAAAAATGAAATTTCTGAGTAGTAAAAATTATAAACTTCCATTTGGTAAAATAATGACTTAAAACACTATTATCAAAGAGAACTAGAATGTTGACAATTTATTAGGGTTTGGTATTAATTGGTAATAATACTTAATACATAATATTTAATACTGGGTATTTGATTCTTCTCATCCTTTCATCACCTACTAGTCAATATAGTCTACACTGCATTCATTAACATTTTGCATGATAGGTCACACACACAGTGGTGGTCCCTAGTGGTATCATAGCCATTTTACTGTGTTCACTATGTGTGTACAAAGAAGAATTTACTCAGTAATGCATTCCTTTGAAGTGATCCCCTCATAGAGCCACACATGAGTATTCAACATTCCCTCTCTAAACAGAAACAAAAGTACCTCTGGTTGCTTAAAACTTTGTCTCTTTTGTGTACATGTATTTCTGTTGCATGTATGTGTCTCAGGTGTTGTTCCTCAGGAGCCTTTCATCATTTCTTTTGAATATATGTATTTTTAGTATTTCTATTTCTCTGTGTGTGTGTGTATGTGCATGAATACCCACAGAAGGGGGTATTGAACTCTATGGAACTGGAATTACAGGCATCTGTGAGGCTCTAGATGTGGATGTTAGAAACTGAACTCGGGTCTCTAACAGTAAGCACGTGTAACCACCAGGCCATCTCTATAGCCCTAGTATTTGTTTTTTGAGTCAAGGTCTTTCATTGGGACTGGAGGATCTGCTTGTCTCCACTGCCCCAGTGCTGCAATTATAGACCATCACACCTGGCTTTTTATGTAGGTGCTGGGAATCAAACTCAGGGCTTCAGGCTTGTAGGGCAAAGCACTTTACTAGCTATTTTCTAGCCCATGCCCATTTTTCATTAAAAAAAGCTTTATTTTGTGTATATATTTGAACATCTGCACAAGCACACACCCAAGTGCCATGGTATGCAAGAGAGGTCATAGGAAATTGTGGCAGTAGGTCTTGCCTTCCATCATGGATCCCAGAGTTCAAACTCATGTCCCAACCATGACGACAAATGTTTTTTCTTTTAGTGCTCTAACACATAAGTCTTAAATTCTAAACACAAGATAGTTTAAATTCTCCAAAATAGCCAATTCTGGATCTGTCTATACATACTTATTTTAGATGGAGGTTAGAACTGCCTCATTAAAAAGTTACTGTATGCAATAGTGGACAAGTTCCTTTGTACATACAATTTTAGCCTTTTCACTCAATGTCCTGTCTTCTTCATGCCAATTTCTAATAGGTAGGGACAATTACTTCCAGCATTTAGCCAAGACCTGAGCACAAACAAGCACTTCAAATGTTTAAGCAAGTCTGCTTAATTCACCAAAGGTATGGGGATTTGCAACATTACCTGCAGAAGGAATGGTATCTCCCACTGAACCAGGGTCTCGCTTTCTTTTCTTGGGTAGTTTTGTTTTGCAAAGTTGCTCAAAATGAATCTGCATACCACTGTCCATGGTAAGGAAGTTACACTGTAGCAGACCACTTAAGGTAGTAGCAGCCATTTCTCGAACCTGGAGAGAGACTTGTGTCTGTTAGAACTGAGATCCTATGTGTGAAGTGATAAAGGATGAGTGACATGCAAAGCTGAGTGGGAAGCTTTCCTAGAAATGTATGCAAAATTTACTTTTTCATGCCAGACACCACCAGATTCCCCAGGGTTCTGTGGCCTCAAAACGGATAAAAGCTGTATCAAGGTTACACAGGTATTCTCCACAAATTAACAAGAAACAAAATAAAAACAAATGTTCAAAATATAAACAAAAAAGTCAAAGTTTTGCTCTGTATTCCTTGAGAGGTTCTTTGTACTGTCATTTGGTTGCCCTATTTACTATAAATATATTGTGGTACTGGGACTGAATTCAAGGGCTTCATATAAGTTAAGCAAGTGCTCTCCCACTGAGGCCTCATTTTAATTTGTATAATTTGTATTCTGAAACAATGTCTCTCTAAGTTGCCCAGGCTAGCTAGGGATTAAATCCAATTCAAGTAGAATTAGAGGATGAGTGTGTATTCTCTAATGTCTCTCAAAGCATTCTTAGAATTTGGAACACCTACTCAGACACTTGATATAAGAATAAGCAAACTGTGGAAATCAATATGGTGATTTCTCAGAAAATTAGGGACCAACCTACCTCAAGATCCTGCAATACCACTGTTGGGCATATACCTAAAGGAAGTACATTCACTCCACAAGAACATTTGCTGAACTATGTCCATAGCAACATTATTTGTAATAGCCAGGTCTTGGAAACAACTTAGATGCCCCTCCAGACCCAGAAAGACAAATATATACTTACTCATAAGTGAATACTAGACATAAAGCAAAAGATACCCAGCCTACAATCCACAATCCCACAGAAGCTAGAACCCTCTTCCAGAAACAGATGGAAGCAAGATGCAGAAATCCACAATTAACAATGGGGCCAAGCTCCTGGAGTACAATCGAACTGGGGGAGGAGCAATAATACGAACAAAGGAGTCAAGACCATGATGGGAAAACCCACAGAATTAACTGACCTGAGCTAGTGAGAGATCACCGACTCACGTCTGACAAATGGGGAACCTATATAAGACCGAACTAGACTCCCTGAATATAGGTGACAATGGTGTGGCTGGGACAATATAAGAGACCACTGGCAGTGGGTCCAAGATCTAACACTAATGCACAAACTGACTGAGTCCATTCTATTTGGAGATACCTGCTTAGCCCAGACACAGGGGTGTGGGGGTGGAGAGGTGCCTTGGTCCTGCCTCAAGGAGATGATGGGACAGACTTAGTAGACTTCTTGGGGGAGGCTTCACCCTCTCTGAGGAGCAGATGGGAGTTGGAGGGCGGGGGAGAGAAGGAGGAGGGAGGAGTGGGGGAGCGGAAGGAGAGGAGGAAGGGAGAGAGAACTGGGATTGGGATGTAAAGAATAAATTAATAAAAAATGTTAAAAAAGAATGAACAATTAAGGTTTGCTTTTTTTTCATATTACCAACTTTAAAAAAAGGATGTTTTATGTGTATGAGTTTTTGCCTGCTTGTGTGTAAGCACATCATATTCATGCAGTGCCTACAGAGGTCAGAAAAGAGTATTACATCTCTTGGGATTGGAGTTACCATTGTGAGCTACCACATGGATGTTAGGAACTGAACGTGGATCCTCTATTAAAATACCAACTACTCTGAACTGCTGAGCTGCCTCTCCAGCACTCAAATATACTCATTTTTTAAACCTAGTATTATTCTAAACAATAGCTTTAAAGTAACTGGTCTAAAGTGCAAATTTTAAATACCCCTAACACATAATAAAATAAATCATTACAATTTTAGATGCCTATCCTAGACCTAAAATAATCTCTTCTATCATCAGGATAACGCATACCCTTACTAAAATCTAACAGTTTTCAAAGGAAGTATTATAACAGAAACAAACTAAGATCAACGGGATCTATAAAAACCGATTTAAAGCCAGGTGGCACACATTTAATCCCAGCACTTAGGAAACAGAGGCAGGCAGATCTCTGTGAGTTCTGGGCCAGCCTGGTCTACAGAGTGAGTTCCAGGACAGCCAGGGAAACCATGTCTCAAAAAAACCAAAATCAAAAACCTACAAGAAAGGAAACCAACCAACCAAACAAAAAAAACCATTCAATCCAAAGGTTGGGCACACATTAAATAGTGGTGCTCACCAGGAAAGAAGCTGATTTAAATGGTAGTGCTCCATGGGAAGGGGGGGGGGGATTTCAGTATTAGTGCTCCATGGGAAAAAATGTGACCACTTCTGATCGTTACTTGTTTTCTTGGTTTCTTTCTTTGTCTAAGTTCTCACTCTGGCTTACTAATACTCTTCAAATATAGATTTGACTTTCACAGTTTTTTCTTTATTAACAAAATTTCCAGGCCAGAACTCTAGAGCAAAGTGAATAGCATCCATATTCTCAACGAGCATAACAAACTGTGCTGAGGCCTGAAGCAGGTCATTCATAATCACTAATCATCTACACAAAAACTGCACAGCCCTGAGGCTGATCCATGCAATACTCTTCAACTCTTGTCTTTAGACAAGGTTTCTGATACAAAGTAAACGAAAAGAAATCCATGTGCAACCTGGGCCCTAGTGTTTTCCCCTCTTCCTGTGTTGGTTTGAAGCAGGGTTTCACACAGTCCAAGCTGGCCTCCTGCCGGGGTGACAGGTGTGTGCTACCATGCCTGTTTCCTTTATTCTTTGCGCAAAACATGTGATGATACCACCAAACTAAGACTGTTTAAACAAATGCCATGGCCAATTCATTACCTGCTCTAAAATTTATTCTCTCACTGTGTGTATGAGAGAGAGAAGGAGGGAGGGGAAGAACGAATGCTTATGTTTATGGACACCAGAAAATGTCAGGTTTCCTACTCTATTACTCTTTTGATATTATGAGTCTCTTACAGAACCTGGAAGTAGGCTGGTGACCATCAAAGCCCAGTGATCTTGTCTCTGTCTTGGAGATTCAGGTGTGTGTGACTACATGTCTGGCTTATTATGTAGGTGCTATGGTTTTGAACCCAGGCCTTCATGCTTGCTGCTCACTAAATGGTCTTATCACACTAAGTTATCTTCCTACGCACATATGATATGGGAGAAAATAGAATTATATTCTAACAAACGTTCTTGAAAATAGTTTTATGCCTGGCGTTGGTGGTCCACGCCTTTAATCCCAGGACTTGGGAGGCAGAGGCAGGTGGATCTCTTTGAGTTCGAGGCCAGCCTGCTCTACAGAGGGAGTTCCAGAACAGCTTCTAAAACAATACAGAGAAACCCTGTCTTGAAAAACAAAACAACAAAAAAACACCAAAAACAAACAAACAAACAAACAAAAAACCAAACAAAACAAACCCCAAAACCCATGAATATAGTTAAGTTTAATCAAAAACCAAAGAAAATATTTCTATGCTTCAGCACATGTGTAGTGGTCAGAAGACAATGCTCAGGAGTCAGTTCTTTCCTAGATGTGGGTTCTAGGATTAAACAAAAGATGTCAGGCTTGGCAGTAAGTTCCTTTATCTGTTAAGCCATCTCCTGGCCCATGACAATTTTTATTTTTTATTTATTATTATTTTCTTTTAGAGAGACAGGGTCTCACTATGTAGTTCTGGCTGGCCTTGAATTTACAGAGATTTGCCTGCTTCTGCCTCCTAAGTGCTGGGATTAAAGGCATACACCACCATGCCCCACTCCTTGACAGTACATTTTAATGTCAAGGCATTGTTACAAACTGGGTCTTAAATGTCCCTCTGAAGTCTATGTGTTTGAGGGTTATTCTCCAGTGCGCAGTGCCACCAGGAAGTGACAGAACCTAACTAAGGCTTTGAATACATGCTCTCAGAGGGGGCCGTGGGGAAAGTCTCTTTCCTGTCTTTTCTACATTCTGACTATGAGATGAGTGGTTTTGTACCACCATACATTCCTTCCATGGGGCTTTACCATTCTGTTCTAATGAGACAGAAAGGAAATGATCTTGAGGGGATTGAGGAGGAACTGGAATGAGTAGAGGAAGGGAAACCCTCATTTCATAGGCAAGAAAGCACAGGCTAACAAGTGACACATTACCAACTGGGAGAAGGGACATCAAGAAATTGTCTAGGGCTGGAGAGATGGCTCAGAGGTTAAGAGCACTGACTGCTCTTCCAGAAGTCCTGAGTTCAATTTCCAGCAACCACATGGTAGCTCACAACCATCTGTTATGAGACCTGGTGCCCTCTTCTGGTGTGCAGATATACATGGAAGCAGAATGTAGTATACATAAATAAAATCTTAAAAAAAATTGTCTAGAAGATGGCTATACTAAAAAAGTTAAATAATGTTTACATCAAACATATCTCATCAATTGCACTCTTTGGCCAAGGCTGACTTTAAACTTAGGAAAATGCTAATGCCTCATAGTTTTTGTTATTTTTTTTTTTTTGTAAGTTAACTGAATTTAAATTTTACCTCTAACTGCTCATCTTCCAAAAGGCGTATGATCAGCCATCTGATGTCTTTAACTGCATCTTCATTATTTAGGAAAATAAACAGATTATAAAATACCATGGTCTGGAGGTAGGTCAGCACTGTATATCTTGCATGCCAAGAACTGCTTCTTGCTGTCTGTAAATGAGAAATGCATATGTATGATAACAGAACTGACAAGGAAATGAGATAATGACATTACATACAAGTAATACACTATTTTAACTTGATTCTACTTTCACAGGTATAGCTGCAATTAATTTCATCTTCCATTTCCTTCTAGGCAAAGAGCAGTATGGCCAAGTTCCCAAGGCAGTTATCCAGAATGTCTGACTGTTCAGTGGTGGAAAACTTAAGACACTGGTAAAAGTCAAAATACTCTCTTGGGAGAGAAGTATTCATAATTAAGACAATTAACTCCTCCAAGTGCCACATATTACTCTATTTTACTTTCAATAGCAGCAGGTAAGGTCTGAGAAACAAACAAGAGTATGAACTACTAGTGTCAGATATGAATTCCTAAAATACAAACAAACTTGCTGGTTATACAGAGTTTGTTGCTGGGTGATATTGTCTATCTCACTTTTGCTCACAGAAGTTAAGTGGTATCTTCAGCTGTCTATGAAACCCCTTTGGCTAACAACTCATAAGCTGAATTCCATTCTTGGCAATGAAGGTGTTACTTGGTTGCACATCTAGTTGGAGGATTGTCTCCTCAAAATATGGATACACCATTTAAATTACTTAGATATGTGTAGAAATTTTAGAAAGCTTCTACAGTAGGTTTCCATATGGCTTTTCTTCTTCCTTCTTCCTCCTCCTCTTCCTCCTCCTCCTTTTTATTTTTTTTTTTCCTGAGACAGGGTTTCTCTGTAGCTTTAGAGCTTCTCCTGGAACTCTGTAGACCAGGCTGGCTTTGAGGAACTCACAGAGATCCACCGCCTCTGCCTCGCTAGTGGTGGGATTAAAGGCGTCTGCCACCACTGCCCGGCTCATACGGCTTTTCAAAAGGCCTTTAGTTGTCCCTTCCCATATTCCCTTTTTTACCTTGTCCTCCCATCCCCTCTTCATTTAATCCTGAGTTCCTTCATCTCAGCATTTTGGTCTATTTCCCCTTACTTGAAAGATCCCCTGCCCAGTCCCTAACTAGGTACCTAAACTCAAGAACTGAGACTACATAGGCATAGGCCCTAAGGAAATCCTACTACTATTGATCTGCTAAAGTAATGGCAATAAAATGACTTCTAATAAGATAAAGCTATACCCACAGATCTATGCATTGCTTAATCCGTATCAGAGAAGCTTCTTGCAGTGGACAATAATTAAGAGACAGTGAGACATTTTGGAGCACCCAGTCCTAAATGGGACATCTTTATCAAACACCTGTCCCAAAGGCTCAGGGATTTATGCAGAAGATGAGATGCAAAAATTGTTAAGAGCCAAAGGTGGTAGGTGATAGGTGATTCCAAGAAAGGAGCATCTTCTAGAAACCATAGGACTGATGCACATATCAAAACTGTTGTGACAACATGCACAGGACCTGCACATGTTCAAACTGGACAGTGTTTCAGCACTGAGTAGTCTCTCACCCCTAACCAAGAAGCTATCTGTAGTTGATACCTACTGAGAAAGAGAAAATCAGTTTTCCCTAAGAGGGTCAGAAGTAGTTGGCCAACACAAAACAGATACCTTGTTTTTTTTCTGTTTTTGGTAGACTTTTGTTTCATTTTTTTTTGTTTGTTTTGGTATTTCATATATTATTGTTTTGTTTGTTAATGATATTTGGTTTTTGTTTTGAGAGAGAGAGATGTGAAATTGGGTGGAGAAAATATAGGAAGAGTTTGAGGAAGGGAATGAGAAAAACAGTAAATGGTTAACCCTGAGCATATTTGTATGTATTTGGACACACGGGGACACACACACACACACACACACACCATGAATTTGAAAGAGAAAGCAAGGAGGGGTATATGGGAGAAATTTCTGGGATAAAAGGGAAAAGGAAAATGATGTAATTAAAATTTCAAAAAAGAAATAAAGTGTTTTTAAAATATTAGCTAGCTTTAGCATTTAACACAAGATGGAACAGATTTTTCAAAGGGAAGAGACAACATTCTTTTTTTTTAATGCAATAGCATTCTAGGCAGTGAGGTTCACAACAATTGGAGCCACATTTATTGCTTTATTCCTTGTCACAGAATAAAGACACAAGGTACTTAAATATTTGAAGAAGAGTGAGAATGAGAGAGGAAGGAGAGAGAAAAAAATGACAGCAAAAATAACACCAAGAGCATAAAGGCAAGAAGCATACAGGTAAAGGATTAAAGAGGTGCCTTTCCATCAGCTGGAAAAACATGGTCCAAACTTTTTGAGGAAACTGAAGGGTGGAAAGATTAAATGAGTCTCTGAAAGTCATACAAGTGAATACTGCAGTAACATTCCAATTCAGATCTGTCTGCCTCCAAACCAAAGATCTTCAGAATCAGCTGGAGAGCAAAGAGGTCCAAAAGGAGATGCTGATGTAGTTGTGCTGATGGACAATTACTGCCTTTCCACTGATCTACTTTACAGAAGGGATTTTTAGGTCTGCCCCCAGAAGAAGTATACTTTCCAATGTTCCTATATTCCTTAAAAAACCAAACAACCACAAAAATCAAGTATTGTGTATCTTACATTCCACTGTGAAACCCTCAGAATGGCAAAACAATGCTGGACAGAGGATGTAAATACTGCAGCTATATACTTACTTGGTTTAGCACCTGAAGTACCAAAGGCACTTGATGAGGGTAGAGCAACCCCTGAGACATTAGTGATAAACAGAGTTTTGCATCTCTTTTCAGTTCATCATAGCTATTGTCATTTTCCACTGGGGCGATCTAGAGAACAAAGTAAAACAAAGTGAACAGTGAATGATCACCAGTAAGTACAGGTATCATACATGACAGAAATCCCAGCACCCAGGAAGATGAGGCAGGAAAACAGCAAATTTGAGGCCAGCCAGGGCTAAATAGTCAATTTGAGGCCAATCATGACTAGAAAGACTCTGTTTCGAAAACTCATGAATAATCTGGTTTAATTTTTGCTTCCTGCTGTTCCGTTTTATCAACTAAATTACCAGAAGCAAGATCCATAAATATTCCATTATGTTAATTAAAACAAAAACGATCTAGAATGGCATTGCTAAACTTGAAACATCATTACACATACAATATAAAACAGTAGCTAGGCTTTGGCCTCCTTTAAGCTCTAGAACTCAGAAAGAAAAGTCTCTGTGAGTTTGAGGAAAGTCTGTCTACACAGTGAGGTCTAGGTCCACTAGGGGTACATGAGGAGACCCTGTCTCAAAACAAAGCAAAACAACCACCTTAGTCATGGTCTCCCGATTGTATCCATGTATAATGTGTTTTCATTTCAGTATGTACTCCCTGGCCATTTGATCTAGGTTTCATTTTATTGACAGGTGATATTGGGCAGAACATAAGAATTGTTATGTTTCCTTCACTATATTTTTTTCGTAATGCAATAATCCATCATAAAAAAGTTTAAAACATGATAAGTATTATAGTTCATAATTTTTTCACTGCTACTTAGAATACTTTATATATGAAAAGCTTTCCCCTGTTCAGAATAGTGAATTCCTTCCTATATTGCAATGATGAACAATTATTTTCTTGAAGGTACTTTTATCATTATAAACAACTTAATTTCAACAAATCTGATGGCTTTGTATGACTCTTCAAGATAGTAATCATTTCAACTCAAATTGGCATCTATCAGATGTGATAGGTCAATATAAGCTAGTTTATTTTAGAGGTTTTTCGACAAGAAGCCCTGATTTTCATAGGAAATGATCCTCAGAAAACACAGTCTGGGTACAAGGAATATTGTTACCACTCTGTGAGGGTTTTTTCCTAAGCTTTTAGGTGGAGAAAGCTATGAAATAAAGACAGAAAAAGCTTATAATGATATGCTCTATTTAAATTTATAATTACTAGTATTGCTTTAAAATTTGAAAATCGCATTGAATAATTATGTGTGCAGGCTGTGGAGACCAGAGAAAAAATTTTTGCAGGAGTTGATTCTCTTTTTCCACCTTCTGAGTCCTGGGTTTTGAACTCAGGTCATCAGGTAGGTGTGGAGCCATCTTATCAGCCCCACTATTTAAATCTTTACATGACAAAATTTATAAAAGAGGGGTTGAAGATATGGCTTAGTGGTTTAGAGCACTGGCTGCTCTTGCAGGACACAGGCTTTGTTCCTAGCACTCACAGGACAGTTACTTATAACTCCAGTTCTAGAGCAACCAATGCCTTTTTTCTGGCCTTTGTGGACACAAGGCAAAAAACACACATTAAAAAAAAAATCTTTTAAAAAATTTATAAAGATTGAGAACAAATGTATTTGTGTATGAAATGGGTGTGGCTAAGGGAGTGTTGTAGTAATGATATAGTTCTGTTTTTGTTGCAGTATGTAAGACATGAATCTATGCAGGTGGTAAAATAACACAGAAATATGTAATATGTAGACCAATGTCAACTTCCTAACTTCCTAATTTTGAGATTATACCACAATTGTATTAGAGAAAATGGAGTGGAAAGTACCATAGAATTTAGGTGATTGACTTTGTAACTTCCTGTGAATCCAAAATAAAAGTTTTTGAAATATTCATAAACATTAGGTGATGATTTAAAGTTTTTCTTAACATATAAAAGGCAGTTTAATGCATATACATATCCATTCCTGCTACTGCAGGAGCATCATCCTCTCTTGTATTCTGCAGGACTGTCAATCAAGAGAGATTGAAAACCGACTTATACACCATCCTATAGCCTTCATCCAACAGCTGGTGGAAGTAGAAGCAGATACCCTTCTGGTAATCTAATTTCTAGTGCTTGATATTAAGGAACCATAGTTGAATGACAGACTAGGGTGGCTCAGTGGCTAAGAGCAACTGCTAGAGTATTTGGGTTGAGTTCGAAGCACCCACACAGCAGCTCACAACTGTGTGTACCTCCAGTTCTAGGGGATCTTATGCCCTCTTCTGAACTCTGAAGATATCAAGCATGTGTGTTGTGCACTTACTTATATGCAGGCAAAATGCTCATACACATAAACATTTTTTAAAAATTAAAAAAAAAGGAAGAGTATACTCCAGTACCAGTGTAGCCCCTTAAGCCACATAGGCATGGCCCCTTCCCTAAGGACCTGTAACTGCCAGGTTCTACACAGAGAATAGTTGTAAGTGAACTAACAGCTGCCCCCAATCCCTACAGGGCAAAAAGCCAATCTCCAAACTGAAAAGTTCTACCCCCTTCCCAAGAAACTCTACAGAAGCCCTGTATATCCTTTTCAGTTTGCTGCTGTTTCACGCCTGGGCAGAGGCAGCCACTCTCCTGGTTTTCCCCTCCCAATAAATCTCATGCATGAGGTTTGTTGTGTAGTGTGACTTTGTGGTAGTTTGGCTCCCAGCAGTCAGGATACCTTTCCATCTGAGCTGCATCGCTTACAACCAGGACTCTGTAAAATAGTCTTAAAAAACACCTTTCCTTAATGATATGGATTGCTTTGGATTTTTGAGACAGGAACCCACTTTGTAGCCCAAGCTGGTCTTGAACTTGATCCTCATGCCTCAAACTCCCAAATGCTAGGGATTTGAGGCATGTACCACTATACCTAGCTTTAAGAATTTCTTGACAATGATGTATATGAAATTGGTTTTTAATGGGTTAACTTTATTCTAAATTTATTTGTGTTTGTATGCATTCACACATACCACAGTATGAATGTGTAGGTCAGAGAACAACTTATAAATATCCATTTTCTCCTTTCATCATGTGGGTCCTAGGAATTAAACTCATGTTGTCAAGTTTGACAGCAAGTACCTTTACCACTGAGCCATTGTGACAGCTCGAGGTTAACTCTTTAAATAAAACTATTAATGTATCATATTGGTAATTTGTGAGACAGGCAAGTGCTCTGCCAATGATTATAACCCATCCTTGTTCATCATATGCCTGACACAGGCACTGAGCACTTTGCACAGGCAGGCAACTTTCTGACTTAGTTTAGAATCCAATAGGTCAGTGTATTATTCTATTTAATCTGAACTCTTGGTCTTTGCTAACACCAATGTGAGGAGTGGAAAATTCAAATGAAATGCTATTCATGTTACAGAGTTCAATCACAAAACACAGTTTTAAGAATAAAATATATAATTTTAAGTCATATAACCTTTACCACATCCTTAGGAAGTGTGTGGATGCTACTCTCAATGTGCACACGAGGAAAAAGAAGTTCTGAGGGGATAGATAATTTACCCACGATTACATGGTTAGTTCACCAGCAATGGAGCCAAGACCAAATCCAAGTACCTGGTTCCTATTCTTGTCTCTTACTGTCTACCTAGTAATTGGCTGTAAAAAAATCAAACAAAGCTATTATACAGTAAATGGTTTATTAAATTACAACAGCTACATAAGGAATACAGGAAAGAGAAATTGCCATATTAAAATATCATTGTCCTTTTAATCATCCATATGCTGTCCAAAATAAAATTAGATAATGGTGAAACAATGCTTGGTCTGCAAAACTTTCTGTATAGCTGGGTGTGGTGATTCATGCCAGTAATGTCAACATTTATGAGGTGGAGGTAGTTCAAGGTCATCTTCTGCTACACAGCAAGTCTGAAACTAGTCTGGGAATGCCCCCATAGGCTCATATATTTTAATGCTTGGTCATCAGTGTATAGGTGTGGTCTTAACAGGTAGGCCTGGCCTTTTGGAGGAAATGTGTTACTTGGGGTGGGCTTTAAGATCTTAGAAGCCTACACCAGGCCCAGTAGCTCACTCAGTTTCCTGCAGATTTCAGAAGCAGAGAACACTCAGCTACCATGTGTGCCAGCATGGTGTCATGATCCCCACCATGAGGATAATGGGCTAATCTCTGAAACACTCAGGAAGCCCTAGTTAACCGATTTCTTTTATAAGAGTTGCCATGGTCACAGTGTCTCTTCATAGTAATGTATCACTAAGACACTACCATGCCTGTGCGTGCGTGCGTGTATAATATATGTGTATATATTATGTATGCAACATATGTATACATAATTTCAGTGTTAACTGCTATCACCCAAGAGTTTTCCTGTGAAAATCCATCTAGAGATGCAATCAAAATTCAACCATTACATTAAAAACTTATTAACCCACTGGGTGATGGTTATAACTTTCCTTGGAAGGCCAGAGGGAATGGTATTCTTCATTTCAAGTTATAGTCTTACCTTAAAGAATAAAGGCAGAAGCTGAAGCTGTTCTTTGACTGCTGTAGAAAAAGATCTTCCTGCACTTGCCATAAGCCATTTCAATACTATTTGGAAATAAACACAGAATCAGCCAAGTTATCAAATTACGGACCATGTAATGCAATGCTAATGCCCCTGACAGCTCTTTAATGTAAGAGTAGCTGTAATATCTCAAATCAGACTGATTCATTAATAGTCTAACAATACCCATGGTAATGGCCATCAAGTAACTAAGGGCAGAAAATATTGTTAATAGCCTACCAAGCACTTTTAATATACTTGAAACTAGCCAAGAATTCTAGGACAGCTAAAATAATGACAGAATAGGTTATAGTTAAAATTTTCACATTTTTTTTAGGCTATTAGAAAGGATACCCCATGTGGTAGTTTGAATGTATTTAGCCCCATAAGTTCACTGAGGGTGGCACTATTAGGAGGTGTGGCTTTGACCGAGTAGGTATGGTTTTGTTGGAGGAAGTGTGTTACTCTGGGAGTGGGCTTTGAGATTTCCTATGCTCAATGTTGATTCAGTTCACTTCCTGTTGCCTGTGGATCAAGATGCAGAACTCTCAGCTCTGTCTCCAGCACCTGCATCTGCATGCTGCCATACTTATCACCATGATGATAATGGACTAAAACCCTGAAACTGTAAGTTAGCCTCAATTAAATGTTTTTCTTTATTGCCATGGTTACGGTGTCTGTTCACAGCAACAGAAATCCTAAGACACCCTGGGTAGTCAAAGTATCTTGAAAACGTTAAGACTCATACTTGTTGATTTAAAAACTAACTAGAAATATACAAAAGTCAATGGTATAGCATTGACACAAGGGCAAACACACAATAGAATACAAAAACAAAACAGAAAATAAACCTTCAAAATGTGTGCTGATCAAGAGCACCAAAGCAATTCAATAAAATTTTCAACAAGCAGTGGTGGGAAAAGTGAATGTCTATATTCTAAACAATAAAGCTAGACTCTAACTTTATAATACACACTGAAACTAACTCAAGGTGGACTAAGAACCTAAATATGAGCCCAAAATAAATTTTAAAAAGATAAAAAAAATCAGCTAGGCATAATAGCAAATGTCTTTGAACCCAGCACTGAGGAGGCAGTAGCAGGCCAAACAGAGTAAGATCCTAACTCAAAACAACTCAAACAAAACCAAGAAACAACAATAAAGCCAAAATTTTAAAGAGAGGAAAGGGGAAGAAAAATTGAGGAAGAACATATATTCACAGGAGAAAATATTTATAAATCATCTACCTGATAAAGTAATAAAAGAACATATAAACAACTAAAAATCAACAACAACAAAAAAAAAATGAAAAAAGAAAAAGAAAAATCGTACATGGTGGCAAAGGAGGCAGAGGCAGGATTTCTATGAGTTTTATGCCAGCCTGGTCTACATAGTTCCAGGATTAATCACAAACTATTTTGCTGAGTGAACTGTGCTAGAAATAAAATAACCAATTTGACTGACATGATCCACCTCCTAGAATAGACACGCTTCAGTGACAGAAAATAAAGTGGTAGCTATTTGTGGCTAGGAACAAGAGAGGAAAAATGAGAAGTTACTGTAAAATGGGTACAGATTTTCAGCTTTCCATGATGGGCTGAGTGTATACTTATGAAAGGGGTAAACTGAACTAAAAGGCTTCACTTCTAGGAATCAAGGGACCAGACCCTGGGTAAGCAGCCATGACAGGCTACAGAAAAAACATGAAGTTCTCTGACACAAGGTAACTCCAGATCCCCTGGCCTTCCAGAGCCTAGGTCCAAAACTGAACACAAAGAAACTCTAGTTGTCTCTGCCGCACCTCCCCCCATCCTGCAACCTCCTAGGTACTTGGTTCCTGGGAACTGTTTGGCCACAAAAGAAACTCCAGGGGAGACCAAAGCCTCCCCTGTAGTCTCCATGTTACAGTTCTGAAAACTATTGGTATATATGTACAATAGGCTACCTGAAAGTAACAAGACACAGCCATAGAAACCACAGAATGTTCCCTCTCAGCACCAATGAAAATAACTGATACACAGGTATTTCAAGCCAAAATATGAGAAATTCTGATTGTTCCCAAATGTCAACCAATCAGAAACCAACCTGTAACTAATGATGTAATCCTGTAACTTTTGTCTTTAAAAACCTAGCTGTAGACAGGGAACTTAAGCCCCTCTCAAGACTGCTACATCAGCTTGCTAGACAGGGGCCCTCCCGCAGTAGGATAGAACAATCAATAACCCTCATGCATTTGCATCGGTGGTCTGTCTCCCTGGTCTCTTTGGGGATTCTTGTAACTTGGGTACAATACTCATAGCCTTTAAACTGCACATTCAAAAATGGTTAAAATTGCCTGACATGGTGGTGTATGCCTTTAATTCCATCAAGCAATAGTAAGAACATATAAACAACCACAACTCAAAATGAACAAAATATCATGATTAAAAAAAAAAAAAGAAAAAGAAAAAGAAAAAGAAAGAAAAGCATAAATCCAGGTATGCTGGCATATTTGGGAGATAGAAGTAGGTGATCTCTAAGAGTTCAAGGCCAGCTGAAGCTACATGGTAGACAAGGTCTCAAAAAACAAACAAAACAACAAAAAAAAATCATAATAAAAACAAAACAACCCAACAAATAAACAAAATCCAAACCAAACCAAATAAAAAAAAGTTTAAAATAAGAAAATTTATTCTGTCTTATCAAAAGAAAAAAAAGGTATGTGTGTGGGGACCCCAAAGGAACTAAAATAGCCCTGTTTTCAATTGAATTTCTAGCAATTTTAAAGACTCACTGGTTTTTAAGAGTTTAATGCCCTGAGTTCGTTCATCTTCTTCACCAATGCCATTTTCTTCCATAATATGGTTCTGAATTTCTTCATCCACATCTGTGAGAGGTTTCAGTTTCTCTAAGACTCGGGCAGTAAACTCGGGAATACAAGGGGATGTTGTTGGTGCAGTATTTGGCAAAGAAACATCTATCATGAATATGTAGGTCAGCACACTGTTAAATAAAATGTATAAGAACATGTCGGGAGTGAGAATTAAAACTGAGGTTCAAATGTTACAGCTAAACCCAAGCAAATTTTCACCAGATAATTATTAGCAGAGAGGGTTTCAGATCATCCCTAGTATAAAACATGCCATATAAAACTGAGATCAAATCTCTAGTATGACTGCTGCTCACTGCTAGCTTGAGTGCACTGCTTCCTAATTTATATTCAATGTCTTGTTTTTCAGAACATAATAGTGAAGAAAACATCATACTCACTGGGAACATAACCAGTATGTATTATTAGATATTAAAATTTAATACAAAGACTCCAGAGGTACTTCAAACCAAGAGAACAGCCACACATACCTCCCTATTCTTTCTCTGACATTTTTGTAAACCTGGGTGAGTTTGGGTTCCAAGTACTTTAGAAGTCTGTGTAATAGCTCAGGGACTCTCCATTCTTGCTGGGCAAGGCCACCTTGAAGCACATAGAGTCGACTACAATTAAAAACAGAAGAAACATTGTTAGACTGTTTTTTTATTCTAAGAATATAAACAATGCCTTTATTCCATTTCAATCTTTTCCTGCTTTCTCTTAGATCACCATAAATAGCTTTTCACTAAATAATTCATCCATAATTCAAAATAGTAACATTTGATAAAGACTGCCTTCCACACATCCTCTTTTCTACTTTTTAAAATATTTTCAACCTACTTTTTATATTTACTACATTAAAAATATTTTCAAGCTATTTTTAGTAGTAGTATATTTACAACTATTAAGTTTAAAAAAAGAATAACCATTGAACTTACATGTTTAGAACATTTATTTAGTGTTTGGGTATGTGTGTAGATGGAGGTTGTGGTTTAGGCATGAGGGTGAAGGTTAGAAAACAACTTTCAAAAGCCTGTTTTCTTCTTCAATCTGAGGGTTCCGAAATCAAACTCAGGTCATCAGGCTCTGTACAAGTACCTTTACCAGCTCAGCCATCTCACTGGCCCCATCATATGCCTTCTTTCATGTGTGTGTGTGTGTCAGTCTATGTATATCTCCTTTGACTATGTGGTCATCATGTGAGTTGGTCCCAGGGATTGAATTCAGGTTGTCAGACTTGTTGACAACCATCTATATTAATTGAGCCACCCCACAGACACCTGACCTAACTTTTTGAGGATAATAATTCAAGTGTTCTCACTGATGAACATCTTCATGGGGGTTTCCTTTATCATTTTTTAACTGCTTCCACTTTTCTCCACCTTCACAAAGATGTGCCAAGTAAAACTTCCTTTAACACTATACTGTCCTCCAGCCCCTCTGCTTTGTATGTTTGGTAACAGAGAAGAAAATGAAATATCAGATTATGACAAAGAAGTCAGTATGGTCCCTAAAAACCTGTGGCAGCACAAAAGGCTGGGTGATTTATGCTTTAGCTGGTACATTGCTTACAAAATTATAACTAAGCATCACAGCCTCCAAAAAGAAATTCATCATTTAATTTAGCACTCAGATAACTCATTTCCTGTCTTTCTTTTGCTTTGATTTTGTGTTTTAAGACTTGCTTGTGCTGCATAATCCCCGTTGGCCTGTTACACTAACAGCCCAGGCTGGCCACGCTCATGGCCTCGCCTTAATCTCCCTAGTGCATGGATTGCAGGTAGGCACCACTATGTCCAGTGACTCATCTCCATTTATTCATTCGTTAACACAAAACCTTTAATGTTAACCTTACAGGTTTTCTTTTTATTTACCATGCATCTACAAAGGACCCCCCTTCACCACTCAATGGTGACTCCAAGAGCAGTTCAAAAAGCCAATGAAGCTTCCGGGGATCTCTGCTTTCCTGTGTTGAGATATAAATTAATAATTAGGCAAAAGAATTAACTCTGTAAATCAATCATACCCAATTATATTAAAAGTAAATATGCAAGAAACAAGCCAAACTAAAATTGGTAAGTCAAATACAAATTAAGTTATCATTACTTGTATTAACACTGAGAAAATTATAAGCAAAATAGATGCCTTAAATTGAAGCACATGAGCAACAGGCAGTTGGCATTAATAACACGGATAACTACTACATATGGCTTTTACTATGTGTAAACTACATTTCCCAAAACATGGTTTGATGTGTAGATGTTAAAATGTATTACTATATCAGAATAGAAATCAGAATCAGAATTATAGTCAAGGGCTTCTAGGAAGGCCGAAAAGCACCATCTTCAATTATGAACAATAACAAACGTAATGAATGAACTGTCAAGATTCCATGGGGGACACAGTGCCCCATAAGGGGAACAAGCAGAAAAGTGTGCTTACACAGGATGTGGCTATACAGGTTCCCCAGTCATTGTACGTCTCCACTGTCATGTTGGACAATGCTGTTCTCAGCAGAGGGCAGAGGAGTTCCCAAAGCTTCTCCACCTTCTCAAAGTAAAACATAGGAAAGTTAGTGGCAGACACCATTATGAAAACCGCTCCTCCTGGAAATACACACACACAAACAGGACAGGACTTTGTAGAACACCCAAGTAAGGGATCTTACTATGTTACAATTCATACAGCATACTATACAAATTATATGACCTATAGAATATAGTTCAATTTCTTTCTTGGAATATCATTTAGAAAAGAGGGAAAACTTTATATGGTTCCTTATAAAAATCTCTCCTACAGGGAAAAATTTAAACAAACAAACAAAAAATTGTTGAATAATACAGCTATTACACTGGGCAAAAGGAAACCTAAGCTGGAAGCATGGGTGTTACAATTCCTGATACAGGAATTTACTTTAAGTGTGATCTTCTATTCAAATTGTGATGATCAAGGACTAAACATGGGCAGACGGATCACACTGTCATCTTGAAAAGACAGACTATGATTAATCCCAAGAGGAAACTGAGACCTTCCTTTTCTAACAACCTCACATGCAATGACCACACTGCATAGTTATGCACTTTGGTTTTAAAAGAACAAATAAGGAGGTAGTATTCAGGATAAAAGGTACCAGACAGATTTTTTTTTCTTTTCTTTTCTTTCTTTCTTTCTTTTTTTTTTTTTAAATGTGTTTTGGAAAAAAGCTAATTTGAGAGTAGCTCCATTAAGAGAATGACAAGGATATGTGTGTTGTGTATAAATCTTTTTGAAAGAAACCAGTTTTCTGGGTTTTGTTTTTTCTTAAGATTTTATTTATTTTAAGTTGGGTGTGGTGGTACACACCTTTAGCATTTCATGTATCTCTGGCTAGCCTCAGACTTTCGATATGGCAGAGGATGCCTTTGAATTTTTCATCTTCTTGCTTTCTTCCTCCAGAATGCTTGGATTTTAGTGTTAGGATCGAACAGAGGGCTTTGTGCATGATAAAACACTCTACCAACGGAAACACATCACCAGGCTCCATTTTTGGCACATTTTATGGAGTTGAATTTGTCATATTTCAAGAAGCAATATCGTAAGTGTGATATTGGTTACACTTTTTCCTTTTTCTTCAAACACGGTCTTGTGTAGCCCATGCTGGCCTTGAACTCTAGATCCTCCTGCCACTTTCCCCCCAGGCACAGTATTCTAGTATATGGTGAATAAATAATCAACAAAACCCAAAAGGAAACAAATAAAACCTACTACAGATGGATCACAAAATCACCTTCTCAAATGTCCAATGCTTAGAACCTCTGATTAAGCCAGCTATAATTTCTGCAACACATCTCTGGGTACTTTCATGAGAATCTGCAACCAAACGTTCTAAATGGGGCTTCAGAACAGGCAGAAAAGCATCATCAAAATTCCTAAATACACCCTATAAAAACAAGGACAAAGTTAATTCATTATTGAAATGGCTATTATCTTGATAACTAAGTTTGCAATTATTGTCTACATTATTCTCCCCATTAGAATTTAAATTCTTTAATAATGTCAGTTATAACAGTAAGAATTTTGCAACTTTATATTAAAATACATTTTTGCTTCTAGTGCTAACAATTTTAAAGGTTGCCTTAAAAAGACACAATAAATATTAATTTCAGTTCTACTTTAGATTAAGGAGATAACAGGTAAGTTCAAATTTTAATCAAATACTTGAAACTTGGGAGCCCCTAAAGTGGTAATCAATAAACTTTATAAAAAGGGTACATGAAGCACAATTACCTTAAAGAGACAGAAACGCCGGGGACTAAACTTATCTCTTCCTTTTCTGTCCTCTAAAGATAGAAAAGTAATTAACTGCTCGACAAACTTGGGGTCAGAAAAATGATCATACACAATCTGCTCTGCCTACAAAGTCGGGGGGAAAAAAAAAAGAACAATGTTCAGGGCAAAAACCTACTTAAGAGCACACAATTCTGATAAAGCTAAAATAACATTTTAAGACTTTATTAACTAGATTGCTATAGTTTTGTTCTTGATAATTTTCAATATCCACAGAAACTATAGTACTTTCTAGAACCAGAATAGTAAATGCAATTATATGCAAAACTAAAAGGCAACTCTAAGAATATTAAGTTTTTTCTCTTCCTCGGGTTTGGATGTCATTTCTCACACTATCAAAAATGTCTGCTCAGCTTGGGAAATGAGGGCTAACACTTCTGTGCCAGCTGTGTGCAATTATAAAAGCTTCCTAACTATAAACCAAATTCCAACAAACTGTTTCCATCTTTGTGTAACACCAGCCTTTAAAGAAAGGCTGTTCAGAATTAGGAAACTTAAACAGTGACTTGAAGAAAACTTAGCTTTTAAGCTAATTAGATTTCAAATGATAATGAGGTATGTTCAATAAGGAATAGAATTTTGCTTCATTTTTGTGGCCTTTTTTTTTCCTTTTCTTTTGTTCAGTTGACTATAGGCTGTCTTGCTCTACAGTCCAGACTGGCCTTGAACTCACAGCAGTTCTCCTGCAACAGCATTGAGTGTAGACATTCCTCACATACCACACCTAGCTTAACTAGATATCTGGGCTGGAGAGATGGCTAAGTGGTAAGAATGGCACTATTTTACCCCAAAGACCTTCATTGTTCCCAGCATCCATGTTAGACAGCTCACTAGCTGTAACTACAGTTCCAGGAGGATCTAACACCTCTTACCCTCTTACTTGTAGCCAGGTGCACACACTCATACACAGATACACATAATTAAAAAACAATAAAAATGAATCTAAAAAAAATCTAAAAAACACCTATTTCTTGAGAAGCCATGATTTATATACAACGGTAACCTAAATTACTTACTATCTTTGCTCAAGAGCTCTGAATCATCCAGAACTAACACAAGAAACCAGCAGTTAACTATATAGACCAGTACCCAATAGAGTGTGAACCCAGTAGTAACTTGAGGGCAACCCTGGAAATGCTGATAGCAGTGTCAATTAGTGATGAGACAATAGTATACATCCCACCTATAATTATGCTGTATGTACTATACTGAAATATGAGGTTAAAAAAAAAAAAACCAGACTAAAATGGAGCTAAATCAGTATCAAAGATGCAATTAAAACTACAATGAAATGAATGCTTACCTCCGTCATATCCTCCCTGCTTCTGCCAAGCTTAGGCTGCTCTTCCACACCGGCATAAACAACCATGTTCCTACACAGAAAGTTTATATTAACAACATGAACAGATGGAAAAGATATAGCTTCAAGAGCAAATGTTAGGAGGCACTATTTTTGTTTTCTTTTTAAGATTTTATTTATTATGTATACAGCTGTCTGCCTGCATGCCAACAGAGGGCACTAGATCTCATTCAAGGTGGTTGTGAGCCACCATTTGGTTGCCGGGAATTGAACTCAGGACCTCTGGAAGAACAGTCACTGATCTTAACCGCTGAGCCATCTCTCCAGTCCAGGAGGCACTTTTAACTCTGACTAGAATGGAGTTTAGGGATATGAGTATATTATAATAGTCTGATTCTCATGCCCTGGTGACATAAATTGGACTCAACAATGAAAGTCAAGTGCTTTTGGATTAGACAAGTGTGTTAACATTAACATGTAAGAGCACAATACAGAGCAGCTGTTAAGACCCTCCCTAGTCATACAGCAAAAACTCAGGACTACAGAAGAAGTGGGAAGGAAAGAAGCACAGCATTGGCAGGAGCAAAACAAGTTTATCAAAAACGAAAAAAATGTTTAGTGCTAATGCTGGAGGTGAACTGTGTGTGACTTACTTTGGCCAATTGTAGTATCCCCAATGAGTTTTTTCAACAAAGCAACTTGACTCCCATTCTTTTTTTGTTCTTGGTATGCTTTTGCTATCATAATGTAACCAATGATTATCAGGTCTATCACCAGCAAGCATTCTGGTGGGCTTAGGACATCCACCTACAAAAAAAAAAAAAAAGAGCATTCAGATTCAATCAATTTGAAAATATTAATTCAGTAGCTGTTCTAGACTTTCAACAAATAAAGACACTGTTTTTTTTTAAATGCAGGGTCATTTTATAGCCCCTGCTGGCCTGGAACTCATCGATCCACCTGTCTCTGCCTCCCAAGTATTGGTATGAAAGCTATGGACCACCATACCCTGACTAAAACTTGCTTTTAAAAGAAAAACATATATTTATTATTTGTGTGTATGTGTGCGTGCGCGCTTGCG